ACGCTCAGAGACGCGTAAAAGTCTAAAAATGGTTACATAAGCAGTAAAAAGAACATCGTCAAATCATTCTTAATTCGATAAAAAAGGGATAGTTTGCATTATAGAATATTTACTTCAATTCTATCGTCATTTATTTCTACTTCAGCCTAATAATATTTTCGTGAATTTGTAAGCCGGATACAGATGTTCTGAAGTTTTCCGACATATACTGGGTGTTGCAAAAGTTTTGTGACATTTTTTATTTTGCATATATCTCAGATTGAGAAAATGATAACATCTTGACTTTTTTTTGAAAAGATGCGCCATGAAAAGCTCTACAAAAACTGTATAAAGAGACTCCTATTCACTTGTTCTGATGGTTTTCCCACGCTCAATATGAACAACCTATACGATAGTGCTGCTTCCCAGCGTAATAAAAAATGTTTGAAAGACATTTTTTGTTTTGCATATATCTCGGATTGAGAAAATGATAACATCTTGATTTTTCTTTTGAAAGATGCACCGTAGAAAGCTCTACACAAGCTTTATGAACAAATCCCTATTGCAAAACAAAAAACGTCTTCCAAACATTTTTGTTATGCTCAATACGCTGGGAAGTAGTGCTATCATGTAGGTTGTTCATATTGAGTATGGGGAAACCATCAGAACAAGTGAATAGGAATCTCTTTATACAGTTTTTTGTAGAACTTTTCATAGCGCATCTTTTTCAAAAAAAATCAAGGTTTTATCATTTTCTCAAGCCGAGATATATGCAAAATAAAAAATGTCGCAAAACTTTTGTAACACCAGGTGGCTATGTGCTTACATATTTCATGAAACACTAGTAGGCTACATGTAAATTATAGATTATCAGGAGTAGTCACTTTTAAGAATGCTAGATGCAATAAGGCTTTAGTACATCGTCCTAATAACTTATTATAGAATTCCCATAGTCGTTTTCAATGAAAATCGTGCAGCCTCATTCACAAGATGAGGTCTATTAATATTTATTCTGATAAAATAGGCTGTATTGTTGATGGCATCGCATACACATATAGCTAGAAACATGCTCAAGTGCATCTTATCTATGCGAAAGAAAGAATCGGACCATATTTAGACGCATAAGTGGAATCCAAGAGCATCAAGAAGCGTATAGAATCAATGCGTGTACTTGCACGTGGTTGATAGACAATGTTCGATCGTGTTCAGTTTAACCCTTTGAGGACGGATGGCTCATTTTTGGACCACTTATTTTGCAGTAAAGAAAAAAGTGTTTATTTCACACTAAACTATTAAATATGTAAGGTCATTATGGGCATAAACAACTATATTTGTCATGTCATACTTTTCTTTTCTTTCTTTCCTTCTCTCATACAAATTCTCTTCAAATATCTCTTCTTCTTGCTGCTGAGGTACAGTGACATCATAATTTCCCTCTTCTCCTCTGATCTTTTATTTTCCGAGAATGTAAATGTATTTGTTTCCAACTCATTTATTTGCTATAATCAGTTACCTCAGGATAAATTAAAATATTTAAACTACATGGTTTCAGTGGTGAAATCTCTCTGCTCCGGTAGTGAACGAATAAGTCCTGAAAGACCTTCTTCTGAAAAGAAGTCTAAACTACCATCACCAAAAACTGTCCTTAATATTGACAATGAAATGCATTTGCCTGTGAAAGGAAAAAGAAGAAGATGTGCTTATTGTAGCACCAAGACAGCAAAGGAGGAGGGCGGGTTTGCACGTAAAACGGCCCTCAATAAAAATCATCTCACAACACTTTCTAAAATTGAATTTCATCTTCCTCTAACTAAGAATAAAGCATCTGGACCTCTTTCAGGCCATGTTTTAACGCCTCTTCTCGACATTTCTACCTAGGGCAGAAGCATTATCAATATCGGGATCCCCCTCACAGATTAGCCGCATTAGTTTATCGAATCAGTCTCATATTTTCAGAGTAAATAGAGCTTTTCAAGAGCTACAAAATGATCACAAATTGTTAAGGAAAATATGCGGCGCTCGGAAATTTTTAAGGACCACACTGTCCAGGTTCTACAGGAAAACTGATTGCTGGAATAGTATGGTCCGCACAATCGTAAATATCGCTCATGATACCATCGTCATTTTTTTCGTGCCGATAGAACTTTCCAAGAGCTACAAAATGATCACAAATTGTGAAGTAAAATATGCTGTGCTCGAAAATTTCCAAGCACTACACTTTTCAGGTTCTACAGGAAAATCCATTGTTGTGATAGTATGGTCCGTAGGATCTTAAGTATCGCTCCTGATACCACCGTGATTTTTTCTGTACAGATAGAACTTTTGAAGAGCTGCAAAATGATTACAAAATGTTAAGGAAAATATGCTGGGCTCGAAAATTTCCAAGGATCACACTGTCCAGGTTCTACAGAAAAACTCATTGTTGGGATAGTGTGGACCGTAAGATCTTAAGTATCGCTCCTGAAACTACCGTAATTTTTTCTGTGCAGATAGAACTTTTGAAAAGCTACAAAATGATCAAAAATTGCAAAGTAAAATATCCTGTGCTCGAGAATTTCCATGGATCATACTGCCCAGGTTCTACAGAAAAACTCATTGTTGGGATAGTATGGTTCTCACAATCTTAAGTATCGCTCCTGAAACCACCGTGATTTTTTCTGTGCAGATAGAGTTTTTCAAGACCTTCAAAATGATCACAAATTGTGAAGTAGAATATGCTGCGCTCAAAAATTTCCAAGGACCACACTGTTCCGGTTGTGCAGGAAAACTCATTGTTGGGATAGTATGGTTTGTAAGATCTAAAGTATCGCTCCTGATACCATCGTCACTTTTTGTATTCAGATAGAGCTTTGCAAGACCTTGAAGATGAACATAAAATGTAAAGAAAAATATGCTGTGCTCGAGAATTTCCAAGGGCCATACTATCCGGATTCTATCGAAAGACTATTGTTAGGATAATATGGTCCATACGATCTTGAGTATCAGTCCTGATACCATCGCCATTTTTTCGGTGTGGATAGAGATTTTCAAGACGTAACAGTGATCTTAAATGTAAAGGAAAATTTACCGTCCTCGAAAACAATCACGGACGACACTATCGAATCGTTGTGAGAAAACGAATTGTCGAAAGAATATGAGGAGCGGGTTTTGAAACTTCGATCATGGAATGGTTGTGAATATTGGAGTAAGTGATAGAACGTATTATAGGTAAGAAGCCGTTATGGATGTGGAACAAAGCAAGGCTTGAGCAATGTATCGGGGATGATTGGTATGCAGTAATGGGAGAGTCATTTTAGGGGTTGAGAGGAAGGGTAGTAAACACGCAGAGATTCATATAGCAGATGTAGTATACAGAGAATTTGAGGTGAAGATGGCTATATAGCGAAGGAGAATGATGAAAAAATGTTGGCTAGATTGGGATTTCGACATGATACGAGATCAGAGAGAGAAGAGACAATATGTTTCATGGAGAGTGATCTCGAGAGAGGTTAAGAGATGGCGCGACAGGTGCGAAGAAAACGTTTTCGTTGGAGAGTGATTCGGAGCGTAGATGTTTCATACAAAGAGAGATATGAAGAAGAAATTTTTAAAGAGAAGCATTTGTTAGATTTATTTTACTGATAGCGGTGATAACATATAAAAGCGAGAGGTTACATGAATTCTTATTACTTTTCGCATAAAGGCAATGCGTACAAGTCATATATCTGTCATTGTTATGGTGGTTGCGTAAGTGTGAGCAGCGGACTTCCTCTAACTGCAAAATGCATTCGACTTTTCTTCATGAACGGTTCGTTTCCACCGTCTCCGCCGATGGTTTGCTACATTTCTACAACTAACCACCATACGGGGGTCATATTTTCCAGCAATGTTATAGAGGGAAGTATAAATCATACCTCTAAAAACATATCATCGACCACACTATACTGACCGTCGATTACTCCCAACATTGCCGATACTGTGCGGCTTGAGATTTTCTGGCAGCCCCATTGCTGCCTAATGTTTTATTACCATTTCGCAGCTCTTAAACCGCTCTATATCCACAGAAAAAATGGCAATGGCATCAAGAGCCACACTCAAGATCGCAAGAACAATACTATCAAATCCATTTGTTTTCCTGTAGACTCCGGACAGATTGGTCCTTGGAAATTCTCGGACGCACCGCATTTTCCTTTACATTTTCTGATCATTGTGTACGTCTTGGAAAGTTCTATCTGCACAGAAAAAATGACGATGGTATCAGGAGCAATGCTTAAGATCTTACGGACCATACTATTCCAACAATGAGTTTTTCTGTAGAACCTGGACAGTGTGGTCCTTAAAAATTGTGGAGCGCCGCATATTTTCCTTAACAATTTGTGATCATTTTGTAGCTCTTGAAAAGCTCTATCTTTTCTGAAAATATGAGACTGATTTGGTAAACTATTGCGGTTAACCTATGAGGGGGATTCCGATATTGATAATGCTTCTGTCCTAGGTAGAAATGTCGAGAAGAGGTGTTGAAACATGGCCTGAAAGAGGTCCAGATGCTTTATTCTTAGTTAGAGGAAGATGAAATTCAATTTTAGAAAGTGTTGTGAGATGGTTTTTATTTAGGGCCGTTTTACGTGGAAACTCGCCCCCCTCCTTTTCGATCCAACATCGAGTGCTTTACTTGCAAATTGCCATTTTGTTTAAAAGAAGAAAATAATTGTTTTTTTTTGATTATCATAAAATTTTTATGTAGCCACTTTGAGTTAAAATGAAACAAAATGGTTGAAATATGCTTTTTTCTATGGAAAAAAATCCGTCCTCAAAGGGTTAACTACGTTGGAAATTCTGAACGCATCTGAATGCAAAACTGAAATTGTCTGGGTTGAAACGCATCCCATACCTAATCTAAACCTGTTTGGATGCGTCTTATTTAATAACCGCATTTGAACACACCCAGCAGTTCAAAACGCTATGCGTTTCATGGTTACATGGGGACAGAAGTGAAAACCATTGGTCTCAAGAAATGTATTATTTCAGATAAAAATCCAATTATGGTAGTAGGACTCGCCACTAGCCTGACTATTGGTCTTCTATTGATTGTTATTCTGTTGATTGTTCGTGTGATTCGACGCAAATATGAATATTTCGTAGCAAATCAAATTCCAGGCCCACCACCCACATTTCTGCTCGGCAATTTAGGTGTACTTTGGGGGACACCATATCCAATGCGTCAGTTAGAAGCATGGACACGTCAATACGGAAACGTTTATGGGATGTTCGAAGGCATTCTGCCAGTCTATGTCGTTTCGGATGTTGATTTTCTTGAAGAAGTGTTCATCAAACAGTTCAGTAATTTTGATCGACGAAAGCCTGTCATTTTTTCGTTACCTGGAGACGAACGAGTCCACCTAGTAAATGCCAATGGATCACGATGGCGACGACAACGACATGTTGTTAATCCAACATTCAGTAAAGCTAAACTGAAACAAATGTTACCACTGTTCGATGAATGTACCAAAGAATTCATTCGTACGCTTGAACCTTACGCTGATACCAACGCTCCAGTGAATATTCGTCCACTCTGTCATGCATTGAGTATGGATACATTGTGTAAGTCTAACACTAGAGCAATATCATCAGACAGAACTCTATTTAGGTCGTTGTGCATTTTCATTCGACACGGATATACAACGGAATTCAAACGATCCATACATGAAAAAGTTGGAAGAGTTTATGAGCATCGATAACCGAAAACTACTTTTTGTCAAAATAATTAACTTAGTGCCGGTGTTCGGCGATTTTGTTCTTCAAATATTCACTCGATTGTATAGATTACTAGCTGATTTTAACGAAACATTTTCATTTGTTCATTTTCCTGAACTACCTTTGCTTTGGCTATTGGACCGAATCGGTGAACATGTTCTGCATTTACGACATGATCTGAAGGAGGGTCATCGTGTAGATCTTCTTCATCTTATGCTCGAGGCAGCCACTGACGAAAAGGTTTTGGTAAGACACATAGAATAATATTGAAATTTAAATGCAAAACTTTGACTTTTTTTTCTACCATTCTTAGGATGAACCTGATGCATATCAAGAACGGGTTACAACATCACATAATATGAGCAGCAAACTGACGTATAATGAAATAATAGGCAATGTCCTTCTATTTTTTGTTGCTGGTACAGAAACAACATCGACTATGCTCTCGTTATGCATGTATGTATTGGCTACTCATCCTGAGATACAGCAAAAATTAGTGAACGAAATAGATACGACCATTAATGACAATGTTCAGTCATCAATGTTCGATATGATTGAAAAATTAGAATACATGGATATGTTCATTAAAGAAGTCAATCGCATGTATCCCACCGCACCTATTGTACTTAATCGTTTGTGTATGCAAGACACCACAATAGGAAAATATTCGATAAAAAAAGGTATGCACTCTCAAATAGGAACCTTCGAATACAATGGCTGCCAGAATTATTCGTCCACCTGTAACATGTCGTTCTTTGTTCTCTTTGTCCTTTCAAAATAATGCAAGCGAGATACCTCTGATTTTCACCATCGTATAACTCTTCATGTCGGAAAAGCGATAAAATGTCGAATGAAAAATGTCGAAAAAAAATGTGGAAAGTGAAAATGTCGAAGATCAAGATGTCGAAAATGAGGATTTCGAAGCATATGAGTATAGGGTGGAGATATGCATGCGGTTGTAGCCTTGGCAGTGGCTGCGGCCTTGACTGCAAATGAAAAGCAGGCCCATATTCCCCCGCTGTCACACCAAAGACAATCGCAACTACACCAGACTCACTTAAACACGTACCGGAATCCACAAACTGCTACAGATAACACCTCAAATGCTACAAACAACACTTGCGATGTTACAAATAAATCTTGAGATGCGACAGATAAGACCTGAAATGCTACAAATACCACTTGCAATGCTACAGATACCGCCTGAGACGCTCCGAGCAGCACATGAGATGCTATAGACAACACCTGAAATGCCACAAACAACACCCGAGATGCTACAGATAACGCCTAAAACGCTACGGACAACGCTTAGATGCTACAGACAGCAGCTGAAATGCTACCAGCAGTATTTCCAGGCAGCTCCTAAAATTTATAGGTAGCATGTTCAGATAATTTTCCAAAACTTACATTGACTACGTGTATTAGAATTAAAAATAATCCAAACTTAATGCTTTCGCTGTGACATTAATTAACTCTAATGGCAATAATGCTGAAACATCCGTGTTACTGATTAATGATAAGGCAAAAGCATAAGCCTTAGCAATAAATAATGCTAATGATAATTCTAATGCAATACTCCTATACTCATTCCACACCGACACCTACACCACATTCACACCACGCCTCAGTTCGACAACATTTAGACGTCAGTGCTTTTAAATTTTTTTCGACATTTTTACTTTTCGACATTCCTACTTTCGACATTTTTCTTTCGACATTTTCATTTTCGACAATCTATTTTTCTACGTTCTGTTTTTCGAGATTTTTTGTCTTTCGATGTTTTCTCGTTCGACATTTTACCATCAAACCTTTATGTCGAATAGGTGGTTAAAGGTCGAAAGGAAAAATGTCGAAAGAGAAAATGTCGAAAGGCAAAATGTCGAAAGCAGATTGTCGAAAATCTAAATCCTTTTTGCTCACAGATTTCGCCCTCACCCTCACTGTTGTGCTCTGTGAATGTGTACCGTATTACATTCTATTGATCAAATCTTAGAAAAAGTTTTTCATCAAGGATTTACAAGGATTTACAGGGGTTCATAATTTTCGACATTTTGCTTTTCTACATTTTTTTTTCTACATTTTCACTTTCTACATTTTCCTTTCGACATTTTGACACTTTACCCTTCATGTCTATCCATGTAAAGAAAATGAGGGACAAAATTAGATTAAAATCTATTAAAAAATGATTAAAAATTGATTTAAATCGTAAACCTTCTAATCGATTTTTAATCGAAAGTAACCAAAATTATCAAAACTTCAGTGCTTATTTCGATTAATTTTGATTATAATCAATTAAAATTTGATGAAAAAAATCGATTGTAACTGATACAAATCGACGAAAAT